TACAGCCCACTTCTTCGGATGCATATAGAAGTGGGCTGTAGTCCACGAAAGCTTATGCTCTAATAAATTTGTTAGTCTCTAAGGTGCCACAAGTCCTCCTGTTCTTCTTTTTGCGGATACAGACTAACACGGCTGCTACTCTGAAACCTTTTATTAATTTAAACTATTCCCTATTCATGTGGTGTGAGTTGTCACCCAGCTACATTGTATGTATTGATCCATGACTAGATGGCAGAAATTTAAAACAGAATGACAAACAGCTAGCTCCAAAATGTTCTGGTTAGTGCAGTAATACACTGGTTCACATCTGAACAGGAGTATTAATATTAGCCATCTCCAAGCATTCTCAATTCTCAGCATTAATCAAATGTTTGAACATGCCTGAATTAAACAGTACTTTGGAATTTGAGAACAGTTTTGCAGTACTCAACTAGTTCTAGCTGTGATCTAATAATTTGAGCATAGAACATGAGAATTAAGAGAATTACTGACTCCTTAGACAGATTGTATAAAGAGGAATTGCCATACCAGAATAGACTAATGGTCTAGCTACTCCTGAATCCTATCTCAAAAAGTGACCAATGACAGATGCTCTATATCCCCATAATAATGCAGGTAATTGTGATGACCTAGGACATTTTCTTCCTGATTTCAGCTGGGGTTAAAAGAAAACCTAAAATGACGAAATTTACATTAATGGAATACTTTGGTTGAGGCTGAAATCTCACATAGAATTGCAAAGTTATATTCCCCACAATAATTGATGCATGTATCAAGGCTAGGATTTTTAAAGAAGTTAGATGCCCAAGTAAATTCCACTCTCCCTTGCAGTCATGCCTACAAAAAAACTTGACAACAGTTAGGCTACTGGTGTGCTGAGGCCACTGGCAATCATGCTGACCCCTGTCTCTTGTATGCTTAGATTGTAAACTACTTGGGGCTGGGACAGACTTTTTGTTTTGTGTTTGTACAGTAACTAGCACCATGGGTCCTGATCCATGATTAGGATACCTCATTACTATGGTAATACAAATAATAAAAATAAAAGGAGTTGGATACTTAACTCAATTAAGTTCCTTTAAGAATCCTATCCTAAAGAATTAAATAAATGCAATGAATGCTCTGAGGACCATAACTTGGCTCCCCCTGACTTTCGTTATTTAATCCCAGTGTTGAGGACTTTTTAAAATGTAACTGCTAGAAAAGGGACTGTGAACATGGCATCTTGTTCACAGTCCCTTATAATAGCCTTATACATGACCTGAAGACGAGCTCTGGGGTTGTCTACACCATGCAGCTTTAAAAGTCAGCATGTGTAAACACTCTGTTGGTACTTTGTTGGCACTTTTGCAGACAAAATACTTCCAGCCTCGACAACTTTGCAGTGTAGACATACCCTCTGTATAAACTCAAAAGCTGTCCCCCTGACCAACAGCATTTAGTCCATTAAAAATATTACGCGTTTCTCTTATAAATGCACAGGCAGATACAGGATTAGGTTGAAAGAAGAACAGGAGGACTTGTGGCACCTTAGAGACTAACAAATTTATTAGTCTCTAAGGTGCCACAAGTCCTCCTGTTCTTCTTTTTGCGGATACAGACTAACACGGCTGCTACTCTGAAAGGATTAGGTTGGTATTTTTAATTTCTAAATGGAACCAATAGAGAGACAAAGGTAGGTGAGGTAATCTCTTTTATTGGACCAACATCTGTTGGTGAAAGACAAAGCTTTCCAGCCTACAGAGCTCTTCTTTCAGGTCTATCTGGGAAACATATTCAGAGCATCACAGGTAAACTCAAGGTGGAACAGATTGTTTAGCAAAATAGTTAACACATATTTCAAGGGACCATTCAAAGTGAAGTGGCCCATTAACACCCCGCCAATTGTAGGTGGAAAAGTTAAGGGAGAAGGCAGTTGGAGGGGGGGGTTGTTAGGGGAATATGGAACAAATGATATGTGGAGGTCAATGAAGAATAATTATGGAATACTCAGATGCCATTGTTATAGTGTCACTTGTCTGATCACCACACTTCGAATTGTTATGCAGCAGTAGCTGCCTGTTACAAACTGTTGCTGGGAGAGGCAGACATACAATCAGTGCTAGTGCTAGCTCACTGGGGGCCCTAAACACGACTATTCTGTCCCACCCCCAACACATGCTAATACCGGACCCCCTTGAGCTGTTCAGGGCCTAAGCAATTACAGTACTTAATCTGCTTATGTCTGGTGCCCGCTCTGCATACAATTGCCTATGGTAGCAGGGAGGTCTGTAGCAATCCGAAATGTGTACAGGTGCTAGCAGCCTTGGTGTCCTGTCCACGATTCACCCCTCACAATACATAAGCGGACCTGTTCTCACACGCAGCGTGATCACTGCCACAGCAGGTACAGGTCGCCAGCCAGAACAGCAGGGTCATAAAAGACCTGCCTGAAAACGAAAGCCGTAGCCCCTGCGGTGGAAAGGCACTTGCCAGCGAGGCCTGGCCCACCTCCCCCCCCCCACGCCGTCGAGCCGCAGCGCCTGGTTTATTTTATACCCACACGCAGCGGCACGGTTCATGCAGTCCTGTGCAGTGGGCCCCGGGGAATCCCCGCTCCGACCTCGGCAAGAACCATGGGCGGGGCTGCGCTAGCCAGTGACGGAGGGGACCAGCCCAGCTGCCCTTGTTTTCCCATCGCTCTCAACAGCGGCCACACAACGCCCCAGCCTTGTCCAGCTCAGGGCAGGGGAAGCCGAGCTCGCCCCGCCCCATCTCCTGCCCCGGGGCGGGACGCGCAAGGTCCCTCCCGCGCGGGGGCTGCGCTGGGCGGCGGGACCGCGCCCGCCAATCCTATGGCTCTGGGGACAGCGGGGAGCCCCGGTAGCCAAGGAGCAGCGAGAGCGCGGGGTGGCCGGCTGGCCGCGGGCAGCGATGTGACCCGGGGCGCGGGCGGCGGCGGCGGTGTCTCCCCCTCGGGGCTGAGGCGGGACATGGCGAATGTCAAGGTGGCCGTCCGGGTTCGGCCTCTGAGCAAAAGGTACGGGGGGCTCAGGGGCTGTGGGTCTGGGCTGGACTCCGTGTGCACCGCGGGCGCCCCAGGGCGGTGCTGGGGCTGGGCTGCACGCGTGAGCCGCGGCATTGTACCTGTCACAAGCAGGTGTGCTCTACGTGGGCATTGCGTGGGTGGCCCGTCTGTCCTCAGTGTTCTCTAACGGGGTAAGCCTCGGCCGTACTACTTGTACCGGCGGAGACCGATTGGGGCCCCTTACCAAGGGGAGAGATTTGTCGGAGGCACTTCAGCCGTGTAGGTGTGTACGCTATGTCTCTGTGTGTGTATGCATAGGTGTGTGTTTGTGTGCTGCTTAAGTGCTTACGAACAGTGGATGTATATGGTGTGTGTACGTATCTATACACAGTACTGTATAAATAGCAGAGTGAAGCAACCATATAGATCCAACAAGTTAAGAAGGAATATAGATCCAACACGTTAAGAAGGGTCCACGGGGAAGCATGAGAGTGTTTGAGAGATACTGTGCAACTGAATGTCCAAATAATACTGCTTGAGGCTGGTAGGAAGGGGGATGATGAGTTGGAAGGTGAAGGTGGAGTCCATTTCTTCCACTCCCCCCCGCTGTCTTCTTCCCTGGCTGTAAAGCCCTGCTAGCCAGTCCAACTCATGAAATGCGTGTCCCGCCCCTCCCATTTATATGTGCTGTATTGTATTTCTTTTCCGTTGTACTGTTTGCTAATTATCCAGTGACATGGCAGCTCGGTAGCTTTTCTGGTTTTTGGAACTTTGAGGATGTGAACAGATAAATCACTGATATTTTATATTCAGTATGGGTAGTGGCTGAAGGGGCAGTATTAGACTATGATTCATTTGCTTGTGTCTGAAGAAAAGAAATCCGTTTTTGAAAAGTTTCATGTAAGGCGACAAGGAAGATGACTGAAATAGTCCTGTTCAGATCATCAGGTCCCTGGAAGGTCGTCTTAAACAAACAAACAAAAAGTGTTGCTGTTTATTTGACTTGTTCCCAACAGAAATGGGGCAATTGTCAGTCTCTGTAAGACGCCTCCCTCTTCCATTCCTTCCCCCCACCCCGCTTTGTTGTTGCTCTCCCCCCCGCATCCCCCCAGGCTGAAGCCGGATGTTCAGAATGTCACTCGTTCCCTAGGGCTTGTTTGCTTCCAGAAGAATTCTTATAACCTCACTCAATACTGTGATTGCAAGTTCGTTTCCCACAAACGTGAAGATGCTGTAGTTAGAACAGATTCTAACGTGACCTATGTGTATAATACACTGTATAATCAAAACCATGTGTACTGTGGACATTTTGGGAGGAGGGGAAAGAGAGCAAGAAAGCACTGAAGCTGTGTGAAGTATGGGTGGCTGGTAACTTACTCTGTGTCAGGGGAAGGGGGAAAAGCAATATAGCATAGCAGACAAATGGAAAAGTGCCATGAGCTCCCTCTCTGAGCTCCCTCTCTTTGTTTTGATGTCTTTTTTTTTTAACTTGTCTTTCATGTTGTCTCTTGGCTTCATTGACTTGCAATAAATAACCCTTTTATGTTGTAGACAAGATGTTTCTGGAAGAGTTTCCCATCCTGAGAACTAATCCATTCATTTTACCAACAATATAGTAATACATCTTGCACGCTTAAATTCATGGAAGTGTTGCCATGGCCTTGATAAATTTCATTTGAGTTTATAACTTAATTAACTTGCCCTCAGTTTCAGCTAATGCAAAAGAAAGTCCTTTCTCTACATCAGTGATGTTTGAGGGAGGGGAAAGGTAGGTAAAAATAAGATTTGAATAAAACAAGTTTAGCAGTTTTTGTTTAAGTTGTAAGTCTGTGCAAGGCGGGAGGGAAGAAGCAAGGGGGGAGGGAAGCAGCTATACGTTTTTTGGATGCATTTTTGTCTTTATCTCAAAAGCAACTGTCATGTGAAATCCTTCCTGTTTAAAATAAAATTAAAATAAAAGTCCAAATAACATTATAATCCTGACATTAATTCATGCTGTTATACTGTGGGGAAAACTGCAGTAGCAGGAGAAGGCCAATTATGACTTTGAATAATTTAGTATTGTTTTAATGTTACTGACTGATTCTTTGTATTTGCTATTTCTTTGGTGTTCAGACACTTTCCAAAAATGAAAAGTAAGGGCCAAGTAATAGTAGGCAGTTGGTAATGACTGAAAGGCTCCAGTCCGTAAGATTTTAGGTAAATCTTGCCCAGATTGTTTGGAAACTATTTTCACTCTGCATCTGACCATATCTGTCATTGTACTTCATTGTGTGATATATATCACACATTTGTATCTTGCATAATGAATATTCCACAAAGACAGCCAAACCTCTGTTATGATTTGGTGTTATCCCAGCTTCTTGTGGATATCAGTGACAATTAGCACCATTGTTAGTAGTTTGGAAAGAGAGACCAAGGAATGGATGGGCAGGGACTGTGATCTTCCCCTCTTACCAGGGTGTAGCAATGTGAGGAATCTTGCACTTTCCTTGTCTGTGCTGTTTCTGACTTTATGGGAGGAGGATTTAATTCAGTTGTGCTCTTGATCTGGTATCTTCCCCAAACCCTACATTCATTTAGGAAAAATAATTCTATCGGAGTGTACAAGGATTTTTTTTCAGGTATTCCTTAATGCAGGGGTTCGTGAGGTTATTACATGGGGGGTCATGAGCTGTCAGCCTCCACTCCAAACCCCGCTTTGCCTCCTGCATTTATAATGGTATTAAATATATTTAAAAGTGTTTTTAATTTATAAGGGGGGGGGGTCGCACTCAGAGGCTTGCTATGTGAAATGGGTAACCAGTACAAAAGTTTGAGAGCCACTGCCTTAATGCAAGTTGAGTTGTGGTTTTTACCAGTTCATCTATCATTACTCTCATGAAATAATTGCAAAGTCTTCCTTTGGGAGATCTGTCATAAATTAATTATAGTTCCTCTCCCATCCTCCCAGTTTTTAAGGCAAAGATAGTGGAGGTGAACAGATAATGCATGCTAAAAGTGGGAGGAATTTGGAATTCATATACAATGTAAATGACTTTTTGTGTGTGTTTTAGAGTAACTTTAAAGGTTCGGAAAAGCTCCTAGTGAGGGGGATACATGGAGATGTAAAGTAAAAGGAGAAAGTGAGTCTGCAACCCTTAAGGGGGAAAGAAAACCATGATAAAAATTCACTTATTTCAAAGCCACCTGTTTAAACAGTATTACTTAGAGTATGTCTACACTGGCAGAGTTTCAGCACTGGGAGTTAGAGCACCGCTCAGACAGCGCTGAAGGGAAACCGGTGTTGTGTGTTCATACTGGCAGCTGCCTGCGCAATAGCGTATTCACATTTGCGGCACTTGCAACTGTATTTGGAGCGGTGCACTCTGGGGAGCTATCCCACAGAGCATTTCTTCCTCTTCTGCCGCTAAGAGTTGTAGGAAGATCAAGGGAGTTATGGGGCATCCTGGGTCCTGTCACAAAGCCCATGATGCATTGCTTTGCATCCCAGCAATCCCCGTGCTTCCATCTGCATTTGGCACCATCTTTCAATGGATTGTGTACTGCGTGCTCTGCCTCTTCGGGCTGCAGGAATAGATCCCGAACTGTTGACCAGTATGCGGCTTGCTCTGACTAATACATCATGAGTGGCAGTGGAGTTATTCCTTAAACTACAAGGCAAGAGGAGTGCGACATTGATCTCACCACACATAGTAGCTACAAAATGAGATTGCTGTGGCATTCACGGAGGTGCTGACCACAGTGGAATGCTGCTTTTGGGCTCGGGAAACGAGCACTGAGTGGTGGGATCACATCAGGATGCATGTCTGGGATGACGAGCAGAGGCTGCAGAACTTTCGGATGAGGAAAGCCACATTCAT